GACCTTTACGTTTAATTCAATGTCATTTCTAATTGCACCACTGGTTTTGAATGGCCTTCCATGATTCTATGTAGTCTTATAAGGCCCATTTGATCTTTAGAAGATAGTTTTCTGTATGTGGCCCAGATGACCTCAACCTCAAGTTCATATGAACATATACACATTTGCATAGTTTCAGAATTGAAGACACTGAAGGAGTAGAGTTCGACAAAGCAGACAATAGGTCTCATTATTCTTTGTCTCCTTTTTTATAATCAAACATACTTAATATCAGTTTTCATATGTGTATACATATATACACATCTCTCTCTCTATATGTACATACATAATTATTTTTCAAATCTACATTCATTGTCTTTCTCTTCCATATATCAAGCATCTAGCCTACCTTCTGCTTTTAGTTTTTAGATAATGTTTGTTCAGGGAATGTAAATTTGTTTAAGAATCGGCCAAAGTAAAAACTGATTTGACAAGTACTTTTCTTTCCTGGAAAAAAATGATGAAGTTATACCCGTGCAGATACACATAAAAATACATATACACACAAACACACACGTATGTGGACACCAAAGTAATGTGTAACGTGCACGTGTGTATGGTATTTTCTGTATGATGTTACGTATTATTTGTGTGGTGTTACCTCAGTCAACACACAATATGGTGGAACTATTTATAGAACTTGTATTTCTAGACACAAAAACAATGTATATTGTCAAGACGCTTCCTTTTTAAAAGTATGTTTGTACATATTTTTATCTTAAGAGGTGTTTGTAGGTGTCTTTGGAGAACAACATCTCTGGATGGTTTGTGTTTGATTTGTATTTCCATCTTAATCTATTGTGCATGGGCTTCTTTGTAAACTCCATAATTTAAACATGTAGGTCATTCAGAATTAATTAATAGTATCGCTCTTTTGGTTTTGGAAAACACTATTAAGACAAATTCTAAACATTTGAGGGGAAGAATCTTAAAGTCATATTATAATTTCTTTTTTAATATTTTCAAAAAGTAACTGACTTCACAAACACCATCTATAACACGATTTAGACAACTGAGCAACAGGCAACTGTATTTTAAAATGCTAAAATGAAATACATTTATACAAGCACGGAGCGAAACAATGCTGATAAAAATGTTAAACTTTATGAAAAAAAATCATTTGCAATTCACATCAAAATAATTTCAGGTTCTCTATTATTTTAATAGTACAAGCTGCAACAACAGAAAAAGAACAGATACGCGCACACAGTTTTTAAACCAAATCAGTTATAAGTGCAGAAAAAGTAAATACAAGCACTTTTAGCCCACAGAAATCTTTTAGAATTGGCACCATCTCTCTAAAACATCTATATTCTATATAGATTTCTAATTACAACACCACCAGCAGCTGCCATGGAATTCTAGAAATACACACAATATACATAGTATATTTGTTCACATTGGAAAGATCAGTGAAATTCCGCCAACTATTTTATACATGCCTTGTTCTTCAATAGAATAGTAGAGAATTCTTCCAGGCCTTAGTTCCTCCTCAAAATGAATTCTGATTTGTCTTTATGCTTTCACTGATCTTTATTTTTTCACAGTATAAAATTGTAAATGGTAACTATAGAGATTCTGACAGCTTGAGGGTTATTAATAAGCTGTTGCTAAATGTGAACTCATATCTTTGAAGTCTCCAAAACACGTACATTTTACTGAGAGACTAGCATAGGAAATGTGTTTTTTGTTTACTTGTTTGTTTTTTCCTTAAAAAGAGTGTTTAATTCCTGGTTTGGAAGTCACAGAACTGCAGCTGAGCCATTATATAATTCATTTACAGTCAGAAATAACCCCTGGTCTTTCTGATCACTTGCTGGTACCAGGAGTAGCTTGGGAAAGACTGTTACTATCGAAGATAAGCATATTGGAGGATTTGCTTTCTGTCATTGCTTCGGTCAAGTTTTTCATGATTTTCCTTTCAATATCCCTGTCTGTTCCCCACCCCGAACGAGAAAGTTGGTTCTTTCCAATCCAGATGTGATCTTCTCAGACTGCCCACACGCCTCTCCCAAAACAGAAGAATGAGTGGACTGCTTAGATACTCAGCATAAGTTTATCAGGCCAGGTCTTTTTGCTTTCATCATGGAACCAAACTCTCCTTTTAGGCTCACTTTTCTGAGCCTTAGCAACTCACTGTAATATCCCCTTCCTTGTAGTCATGCTGGTCCCAACTGAATTATCACTGGGCACCAGGAACAGATTGTTTTCAAGGAAATTCAACAAGAATAATTAATCAAATGATTTGTGAAGTTCATTTCCTAGCCCTAGAATGAATATTCAGTTCTTTTTGTAGTGTAGATTTATTACTTGGAACCTGGTGTAATAATTGGCAAAGAGACAGAGTTAGCATCATTCCAAAATAAAGATTTCAAGAATGTGTTACTAATAATATTATGTCCCATATACAGTGTATTCAATGAAGTGGTAAAGGTTATAGAAATACAGAGAAAAGTAGATCTTGTTCTTGTCTAATTGATTATTTTTCTCATTACAGTTGCTTGATTATGAGTTCATATGGAATTATCAGACGGCAATTTATTTGCATTAAATTATAATTTTTAACGAATTTCCTCAGAAAGTAGTGAACTTTTTAAAGAAATACATTACTAACAAATTAGAAGAGAAATTTAATCATGGCTAAAGTTTTAAAATGTTCTACTGATTAACAGAGGGAAGTGTATTGTACTTGAGAATAAAATGGAAATCAACATAGGGATTTTATGAAATAAGTTTTAAAACTTAGGTAGTAGAGCATATTTAGAAAGGTTTCAGTGTTTAAGAAATCAAGACAGTAATAGCCTGGCTAATGCCACCCTATTGATGATGTTTCAGGAGTACTAATATTTCAAAATATTTGCCTTTGTTTCGCAGGTAGATGTAGACATTTGCTACCAATGCAAACATGAAACTCAGCTAGATTTTATTTCTGTTTCAAAAGTCTCATTATAACACTTGCGATCAGGGTGTTCCGATGATACTATTTTCAAGTCTGGCATGGGAGGTTTGACTTTTTAAAAATTAACATTTCAGTAGATTAATGTCAGTTTTGGGAGATTTGATTTAAATTTAATATAAGAACAGATATCAGGAAAGGCAATAAGCAGTATGTTATAGCTTTTAAAAGTGGAGAATACTGAATTTTATCGATGGATACATTTCCATTTCTCAATTACTGTTTTCTAAAGTAGCATGGGAAGTGGGGTGAAAAATATATACTAAAATAAGGAAATTGAACTAAAGGAAAAAGGTTCTATGTATTTTTCTCTCTGCCATAAATATACTTATGCCTCATGCAAATCTTTCTAATAAGGCTATCTTTGTGTAAGGCTGGGTCAACTCAACTTTAAGTTTTTAGGACACCTCCTCCTTTTTATTACTATCCTTATTTATAAAAGGAAAATATTTGGCACCTGAGGATAGCTGTAATGGGAGGCAGAAAGAGATGACAGTGGTTTCAGGTCTTGAGCTATGAATTCTATCTATAAGAGCCTATCAAATCACATGTGTTTCTATTACAACTTTAAATCTCTTTTCCGCAATATTGAAAAAGTGACAGTATGAAGTGCACAAAATCATACTAATACTTATCTTAAAAAGGAAAATGTTAATAATTGCTTTGCCTCTTTTTGGAATGGCTAAGAAAGATTGTGTGGTTTGTTTTATTAAGGTTCCTCTGTTTTAGTATTGTGTATTGCTTTGAGAAATCTACGTTTGTCATAGTTCATAGCTGCCTTATTTAAGCAGCCAAGAAATGTTAAAATCACTGCTCACTGGCATAGCTGAATCTCTGCTAAGCCAACTTGACACAGTTTAAAATTTTCAGTGTATTAGGATTTTATTAGTTCTTCAAACAACAGTCCCTCCAATCATGACGACGTCTTCATTGGGTCTATGGAACACGCTTCCAGTGGTCGACTCAGAAAGAACAGAGGAGCTCTTTGTGCATCAGGTTCTCAAAAGAAAGGAATGAAGAAGCCCAAATGCATACTTTAATATTTTAGCTGGCAATATTAACATAACCGCATTCATAAGGAGTGACCGAGTTTCATGAAGGAGATAGCCGGGCTGCAGCTCAAGAATTATTATTATTATAAAGAGAATTTCCAGCTACACAATGCACCCCAGTGAGGGAATTACAAAACAGTATTCCAGAAAATTTTTTTTTTTTTTGCTACTCCAGTATTGATTGGCAACATGGTGAAATAGTCAAGAAATCTTCCACTGGTTTTCTTGGTTAATGGAGGTGAATCTGAAATAACTAAGTGGAATCCTGGATGTAGGCTTTTGGAAGAGGATTTCACAACCAAATTGGAGAGGAAAGTCTCTGGTAAAAGCCCTACTTACCTTAGTGCAGCACTCACTATCCAGTTTTGTGTTATGTTTGGGACACACTCAAAAGAACGCCTTAGTAAATACCGGGCCCAAGTTACTACTTCTCAGAGTCTTTAAAGGAAAGGGGGAGAGGGGCGAGGGAAGGAGAAAGGTTGATGTTTGGTCCCAGATTGTGAGTTTGTTAGAAAATGTACATTCATGTTTGATGAATCACAGAATCTTCTGGGAAAAGAATTAAAGTAAACAAAACTGTTTTTTACAGTTGCTTATTAACTATGCCTTTTCCCCTCCATTATGCCGTTTCACACTCACTGCTTTCCTAGAGCAAAGCACTGGATATGTAACTGTTTTAACATACTCCTTGTCAGCCCTCAAAAATATAAGCAGTGTTTCTTAAAAGCCCATGTTTTCTAAGGCCACTAGAAGAAAATCTGCCAAAAGATTTGTAGTTGTTATCGTTGGTTGTTGTTAAATAGCACTATTAATCTCATGTTTCCATTACGGACGTACTTGGCATCTCCTGCCTCGGGTCTTAACCAGGTGACTATGCTTGTCACTGTGTCTGTGTGAACACCGAAGGTCTCGGCTCTCTGCACGTGGAACAGCGCACTGGTTTCCAAAGACATTCACAAGGATGAGGAGCTTTGAGTGTAATCTCTTATGATAAGTGTGTCATATTTGGGAGATGAGGGGATACAGAGGGCCGACTCGGACACGGGCGAGTTGGGGGTTGTACTCCCCGAGTCCACCGAGTCTCTGAAGGGGGATGGCGGGGTAAGAGCCACCAACTCCTCCAAGTCCGGCTTGCCAGCCGCAGCAGCCTCGGGCCCGGCCGCAGGGGTCTCCCGGGCAGCGCCCCCGGCCGGCGGGGCCCCCACCGCAGGCTGCGCACCACCCGTGACCTCAATGGCGGGCAGAGGCTGGATTTCGGCGAACGTGGTCATGGTCGTGGGCAGCTGGATCTCTTTGGGGATCAGGTAGGTGGAGCAGAGTGGGGTGCCCACGCCGGGGCTGGGAGCTGTGGTGGACAGCATCATGGAGTTGAGCTCGCTGATGTTGGCCGTGAAGCGGGTCACCACACTGCTGATCTGCTCCATGAGCGAGCCCTGCGAGGAGCTGCTGCGCGCCGCGGGCTCCGAATGCAGTGAGGGCACATCGTCGTCTGTACGGCTGACCGACCCAGCGCGGTGGCTCAGCGTGCTGATAGGCGACGGCGAGCGCGGCCGTGCGGGCGCCGGGAAGTGCTCTTCGGCCTCCGTCACATCATACAGCGCCTTGGGGCTGGCTTCTGGGGGCTCAGGCCCGCTGGGGCCGGCACCTGAGCCGCCAGCACCGCCTGTACCTGTGGCTGCGCCCAAGCTGCTCGCGCCCAGGCTGCGGATCTCGGTACTCTTAGGAAAGGGCTTGATGACAGCCGTTTGGTTGGGGTTCTCCTTCTTGTTGATGTGAACAGACAGCCTTTGCCACAGGTGCTGTCCCCGGGTGCTTCTCTCATTCTGGGCCCATGTGACAGATTTTCCATTGGAGCTGTAGAGAGAATGGAGATGAGAGGTGATTTAGCGAGGTCCCTAGGACGCTTCGACATGGCTTCCCCAATGGTGGGTGTCTATGGGGCCTAAAGTGGGAAAGATTTTTCTTATTCATTCAGGAAAGAGGGCAGCGAAAGACACCACGGAAAGCGACCATGGAAGTGGCTTTTATTTGTTTTGAGTAAAAAAAAGAAACACAACTTTTATCTGGCCTGCAGTTTATCATTACTATGAAAGTGTGTCAGAGGGGTTATTAGTAATGATGAGGAAGTATTTCTGGGGATTCTGCGGTAGTTCTAAGCCTACCAGTGAGTGCAACAGCTGTTTGTGCTGCAAACATAGATACACAAGGGCTTGCAGTACTGTGACTGTGTACAGAAATGCCTGGCACAGGGCAAGGGCTTCCTAAAGTTAGCTGCCACTGAGTGGAAACATTAGATTTAGGACCTAGTAAACTCAGCCAACTGAATCATCCAAGGAGAGAAGGGGTAAGCAACTCAAGAGTTACCAGGAAGTTGAGAGTGGTTCCAGTTTGGTTTTTATTCTGTAGCCCGATGGTTGGTATATTTAACTGAGGATTTCTGTCTGAACTGACTTTGAGCATGGTTTACTTAGTCTGCTATCTGCTGGAAAATACAAATTCAGTGAACTCATACATAAAATTTTAATTAATTAGAACTTTTCCACCTCACACAAATTCTCACAAATTTATTTTTAGGCCTAAAACTTGAATAACAATTCCATGAGGGCAAGTGCTAGAATAAAAATCAAACCTGTTGCAGTCGATTCCGACTCATAGTGACCCTACAGGACAGAGTAGAACTGCCCCATAGTGTTTCCAAGGTGCAGCTGGTAGATTCAAACTGCCAATTTTTTGGTTGCAGCCATAGCCCTTAACCACTGTGCCACGAGGGCTCCAGTGCTACAATAGTGCTCTTAAGTCAGTATCTTGCTGAATGTTGTCTCACTGACTTGACTGACTCCTTAGGGCCTTTCTTCCTCTTCCCTTTCCCAATCTGTTCTTGTTGGTCTCCACTCCTGGGTCTGAAAGCTGCTCTGATGAAGAGGCAATGGGTGCCTGGGCCTCAGAGCCTGACTGTGCCCTCGTTACCGCTGACTGAAACTGTAGAGGCTCTGTCAGGAACTTTGCATATGGTCTGAGGATGTGGCCAGTAATTTGGGTATGTTATATGGAGAGACCCTGGTGTCATTCCCCATCACAAAGGAATCCAAGGTCCCTGTTACGTTCACACAGCTCTGTTTTAGGGCCTGTGACTAACAAATAGTCTTGGGCAATCTGGAAACAAAGGCTTTGGAAACCTATTTTTAGCATCTCAGCCACCGGTCATTAACCTTAATGGTGCAAGAGATCCCAGCCTGACTCCAGACCCCAGGAGTTTCTGATTAAGTCTCTGGAATGGGTTCCAAGAATCTGATTTTTACAAGCACTGTGTCCCTTCCCCCCAAAGTGATTCTGAAGCAGATGTTTCACAAGCCATAGAATGAGAAACTCTGACAAGAAGCTGTCCTTTCTCTCTGGATTCCCATTGCTGCTCCCTTGGCTGTTTGCTGGCGAGCTGGCCTGTTTGCTGGAAGCTTGAACCTTGTTTGGCACCCATCTGCCTTGGGGTTGCCTGGCTGCAACTGCCAGGTCCACTCTGCCTGTGACACCAGTTCTCTTGATGAAAGACCACTGATTCTACAGCCCCTTTAACAACATGTTTCTTGACTCTTTCCCACACTGCTTGCCATTCCTTCATCTGTCCCTTTCCACTTTGTGGTCTTTCTTTTTCTGCTCCTTCCTCTTAAGTCTCATTCCTTTTAATCTGCCTAATATATTGCAAACTAGTGACCTCCAGTTTTCTGGAATGTGAGATTCCCCACCTCCACCCCCACCTCCACTTCCTGCAAAGAATGATCGTTTCCGGGTTTGAAGGCTAGGGGTACCAACAACATGTAGACTTTCCTTTCCAGTAAAGTTTCAGGGTTTGTTTTTTCTGTTTTACATCATCTTGATCTGCAACCTTTAACTTTTCACTGCATTACTTTGCTCTTCCCAGATGTCCACTAACTTCTGGCACAGATTATTAATGGGGTTGGACTGGGAGTTGCCAACTACTCCCTTTCTCTTCTACTAGCAGGATAATAAACAGGCAACTGGTTAAGGAGCAGTTAGGTTTTCAGGTCACTGAGGCCCTTTTAATACAAAGCATGTGCTAGAAACTAGAATAGCTGTATTTATTCTACTAAGCTTTACTCTATTGATGTTCTTGCTTCCAGCCCAGAGAGCTAGGAGATTTTGCAAACACCTGCTTTTTAAAGTCTTTCTCTCTTGAATGCCTTTAACTTACTCTGATGAAACATAACTTTGGGTATTAACAGTGACAATCTTTGGACTCACATGTAGTCAAGCACAAAAACATGATAACTGATTGAAAAATCTTTGGATGAACATGTGAGAAAGAAACTATCCTAAGCAAGCAATTTTACACAAATTACTGACTTCTTTCCTGGGCACGCCTTTGCTCACAAAGACCAAGGGCATGGGGAAAAGAGCACTGAGGCTGTCTGAATAACACTGGAAATGGACAGAGGAGACACAAGAGAAATGGAGTCCAAATCTCAACACTTCATTTCATTCCTTGGGTCATGAAAGATTTTCTCCTCAAAGTGTATAGAATCTCTTGGGGTGGGGGGTGGGAACTGACCAATGACAATCTACTTATTAGTTGAATATAAGAACCATGAAGATAGGGACCTTATCTATCTTGTTCAGTGGCACACAGCAGGATCTTAATAAGCATTTGATGGATGAGTAAGATTCTTAAAATAATAGGGCCAACATATGTGTCCTGGAAAAGGCACTGGACAAAGAATCCTAAAGCCAGTATTCTAATTCTGGGTCTGCCATCCTATAATTATGGAAAAGAGCAATCTCTAAGCCTCCATAAAAGGAAACAGTATTTCATTTGGTCAAGATTGCTGTGAGGATTAAATGAGATAATGTAAGTGAAAGGGTCTGGTAAGGAAAATGTGCCTGAGCATGTTAGTTTTTGCATTCCGAATGCATACTAAGTCTCAGAAGATTAAAAATAATGTACATAAGTGCTATTTTGAGCTCTGGTTTAAGGAAGAGAGAAATCAGTGCGAAGTAAAATAGGTAGTAAAGACAAAATTCTCCTGTCTGTTCCTCCTTTATCTGACCAGTTGTCACAAATATTGGAGTTCCATAGGGCTCATCGGTGGCCTTTTTTTTTTCTTTTTCCCTAAGCACTCTCCTTAGGAGAAGGAGAATTCCACAGAATTCCACATTATTCCTCCTCCGGAGATGTTCTTTCATTATTGCCTCTCCACTCGTCTGTCTCCTTATTTGCTTCACCAGTTGTTGCTCGTTTTCTTTGTTTGCTTTTAGGTTTTATTTTGTCTCTTCTTAAAGGAAGCTTTCCTGACTCCCTCCACACACCTCACTAAGTTAGGTTCCCATAGACCCTGCATTTGGCACATATAACTCTTTGCTGTATGTCTATCTCACTTGCTGAATAGGGTGCCATGCAGGCAAAGACAGAGAGTTTGAGTTTCTTGTTATAGTCGTAATACCCGTCACATTGCTTAGAACACGTTAAGTGCTCAATAATGTTTCTGAGCCAAATTTTATTCTTAATTATTTTCCTGTTAGAATTAAGCTATAAAAATAATTCAATAGCAGTGAAATTCTATTACTTTGGTTCTATATACTTTTTTATATAAATCAATAAATAGGACTCAGTGTATACAGATAAAATATATTTCAACTAAATAAAAAAATACAGTTCTTGGTACTACAATAGACAATCACAAAGGAAGTGTTCATTATTTTTTAAAATTCATACGTATCTGTTTCGGTGAAACTTCTCATTGATGAAGCTTATTGAAGCAGTATACTGGTGGAAAAGAGAAAGGACTCAGAATCTGTATCCAAAATTTATCTCTTATTGGTTGAGTGACTTGGGCAAATTATTTAATAATTTGGGGACTTTACAAAGCATAGCAGTCCTGCTAATGCAAAGGGTTATTCATCATCATTCAAACCTTCTATTAATTGAGGCTCAATGTTATGTTTGTGATTTATGCTCAAATTGTTTTCTTTGTAAAGCATCAGAATTACATGTTTGTCCTGGGGGCTTGAGGTAAGAAAAAGGAAAGAGAACTTTTCCGTACCCCTCTATATAGCATATTAGTCCCCTCTACTGAGTATCTTGGGCTTTAGAAAGGAGGAGGAGGAGGAAAGAGAAAAGGGGGACAGGACATTTGGTAAGGGGAGGGGGGGCGATGGGAAACTGGCTCAGAGAAACTTGTTCTTTTCCACAGACTGATTAATCCTTTTGCAAAATATAACACTGTGAAGTCTAATGTTCTCTCTTTTAAGATGATTTACTCTTTATTTCTGGGGGAAAAAAGCAGCATTTTAATAGCATTATTTGAGCATTAGGAATTTTGTTCGTTTGTGTTTTTACATTTTGGTTCTACCAGAATGACACCTTAGACCTTTAATCTTAGGAATTTATTGTCCCTTTTCTTTCTTTCCATGTGAGTCACTTAATGATTTACTTATTTCAAGTAGGCTCTCTTTTGTTACAGGCTTATTAGTACTTTCATAACGTGCAAAGTGTGGGGGGCATCAGAGTAAACAAATATATCCTCTGAAAATTAACAAATGCTTCTTATGAAAAAAATAGCTTCATTACTAAATCTCTTTTGTTTGTGATTTTGAGTTCAGGGGTAACCAGGAGAGAGGTGTACTGTGATTATCAGCTTCCCAATAAGAAAAGTATTTTAAGAAATGTCATTAGTGAATATGCCTGTGGAACAATGCCGGAAAATATTAGGTCAATGAAAGAGTCTCAAATTAAGAAAGCAGAAAACTTGCAATTTCATTTTCTGCTAATTTTCTTAAACTTCTTATCAGTCTGTTTTCCTTTCCATACTTTGTTTCATGTTGCGGTGTATGGCAATAACACT